TGTGATATGACCTACTATTTCCTTTGAGCACGTCATCTAGGACGGTTATTTCATAGGAATTTGTTGTAGCGTAATTTGATGATCCTCCAAATACGATTTTTCTACAACTAGTCGGTCTTATAAGACAGCATAGTTTTGAAGTCCAGGACTCTTAAGACCTAGAGAGTGTAATGTATTTCTTCGCCACAACTCAGTTTTCTTTTCTCTTTATTTATTTATTGTTAGTATTGTTATTTTTTTTTTTCACCTTCACTCAATACATTTACTTACATTTCGCTTCCTTGCCAATTAAATTCATATACATCTCTAGAATTGTTGTTGAATCATTGCTGAATGGTATGTTAATCAAGTCTCCCCCTAAATTGCCTTGATAATAAAGATGGCTTAAAGTCAAGTTGAATATAAAGGAAAATGCAAATAAAATCCAAGTACCTATTTCTTGCTGCTTTTTTTCGTGGCGGTATCAAAACCACGACGAGGATGATCATCACTATAAACAACAACGCTGCTAAAATAGCAATTGCTAAATAAAGGGAAAAGCAGTTGGTGTGTTTCTTGAGCTCATCGTCCTTTGTCACTACTTGAATTCTGGTCGTCGGGGAAGCTTGGACCGTCATCAAAGCTTACAAAAAAAAATAAAAGTCGAGCTGATAATTAGGCTGACCCTACTGATATAGGATAACATATGGAAAGGAATGGAAAGAGAGAGGGCTGCTTGGCAGTCTCGCATAGGGAATCCCTTATGGTCATTACTTTGTTGAGCTTAAACAATTGAAAGCTTTTCCGTATAAATAGGAAACCTCGGCTGAACTTTCTTTGTTGATTTCGCCGTGGCAGGAGTGAGCAGTTTCTGAGGTCCCTGATTTGAAGCGTTTAGTTTACTAAGTTTTTAACTTTTTTTCTCGAAGAGTATTGGCCATAAAAGTGCTTCTTCCTGTTATAACTGAATACTAAACCAAGAGACTGACCTTTAAACTAACAAACGAACACAATATGGATATTGCTCGTCTACATATCTTAAAATCAACAATCGATCGAAGATCTTACATGATAAAGCATCGCTTTTATATTGAGATGAAGTTTTGCCTTGTGTGGTAACAGCTTTTGTCCCAGTTGATGTTTTAGGAGGACTTGTGCTTATTAGAACAGGATGGACGAAGCAAATCCCTTGACAGGTATCTGTTAAAGAAACATAACTACTGTCCCTACCACTATACATTTTTCAAGTGATATCCCGATAACAAGGAAGTGTATTGTTTCTCAAGCTAAGTCAATGCCTCCAATGGGTGATAAAGTTTCAATGTCACGTCCCTATCATTTAGGAAGCCTTAGGTAAATATGCGGCAAAAATCACGGTCTACTCCCCTGATGGCGATGGAATAGCAGTGGTAAGGTGATCGCAGTTGGCGGCCTTCGGGTTAGGGTAAGAAAGATAAACGACAGGGAAGGGATGGTTAGCCCATAGAAAATTAAAACTCGTGTATAACAACAGCGTTCTATTCAAAAAGTATTTTACTCTTTCTGGTACTGGTTAATACCTGTTTCTTCCTCGCAAATCCATCCTCTTAGCATGACAGGACGGATAATGCATGCACTGTAAGTACCTCCCGTTGTTCCATACAAAGCCTTAGAAAAGTTTTCTAAGGCTTTGTATGGGACAACGGGAGGTACTTACAGTCCACACGTTTTTCCGTCCTGTCATGAAGCTGCCCCTAACTGAACTAAATGATCCTTTAAATCCTGGTGGATATTCCTCATGAATCAGCCCGTAAGAGTCAGTTGGGTCAGGGTTGTTGACACCTTTATACCATTTGTCAATAGTCAAAGATTTACCATTGATCCAAGTCCATCTCTGGGTTGTTGAGTTTTTTTTCAAGCCTATAAACCATTCTTTATATAGGCTGTGTGTTTTTTGATTTTGAATCTCATTTTTAATAAATTGCCATTCCTGCTCTGATTCCATCACTACGAGTGTTTTATTGTTGGATTTACAGGAGTCTCTTGCATTTGGCCATGTCCGTTGTCTTTTATTGAAAGCATAACACGAACATAGCCTCTCTCCATCTAGAATAACACAAATTTCAGAGAAGCTAGACCAATAGTTAGTGCCAGTAAAGTGTGTCTTTATGTGTCTGTGAGAGAATGCACTCTTTACTGGGTTAACTGTTACGAGCAGAAAATCATTTTTGAGTTTTCTTAGAGAAAATCGTTATCATCATTATCATCATTCCTCCCCGCTAAAGTGGACCCAATATACACAGAAGGAAGACCTAGGGAATAGCGACCAAATGTCAACCTTCTTTAAACTAATCCACATCCGCAAGGAAGTCGAGCGCTTAAATTCAGCTTATCTAAGACTCTCTCAAATCGTTTTAATTCACATACTTTTCATTTAAAAAAGCAAGCAGTGTAATATACTAAAAACAGTGAATAAAGTAAAAGTAAGTAAATTGTATAAATCCCTTAATTTTCCCATGCAACACGCCTAGGTTGCGTTACACTTTGTATGTAATGTGCGGTTTACCATGACGTCATAGGCACGTTAGTCCCGCTATATATTACAATCGTTTCGCAACTACATGAAGATCAGCGTACCGTCGGGATGAATACAAAGCAAACAGCTTTATAGCTTCAAATGGATGAAAGCTAGTGGAGTATGTTGGGTTATTTAACATGATTAATAAACCAACATTATGCATTTTACATAAATTTGATCATCAATGGTTAAACATGCAAACTGCCACTTCCTTCTCGTTGCAAATTTTTTCATCCTCGTCCGTCGCTCGGCTTGCAAGTCTTAAAAAATCTTTGTCGCAATCAGTCAGAACGCATTATATCTCAATATTCTTCAATCAAGAATTCATTTTCTATTGATTCGATTCGACTCGAAAGTAAAGTGCTAGGTCAGTCTGACGTCCAGAATTAATCTAAAACGCCACGATCTCGAGTAACCAAATAATTAAACTCGAAATTCGATTAAGTGCTTTCACTTCATGAACTTTAGAATTATCAAATATTCCTCTCTCATTTACCTGTTCTCGACAGTAACAAATCAACTCCGAGAAGTATCAAAGCTTTGGATGCTGATGTTTATTACGCCACGAAAGAGAAAGTTGTGCTTGAACGACTAATTAAAATTTCGACGCACTTTCCGGTCAGTCAAGGTGTGACTTGGGAGGAAACAGCGGAAGTTTGGCAAGAGATCACGCTTCAAGGAAAATGTTAATCAAGAACAGGCAATGAGAAAAATTTAGAGTGAGAAAAAAAAGCACAAAGTGTTGATGTCAGCTTTTCTCTTTAGCTTTAGATTAATAAAGGAGAAGCAAAGTGTTCTGGTTTAATTAAAGTAAAGCAGGGGTATATTGTGTTGGATATTTCTGGAATGTTCTCGAAATGCTTTGCCGGCGGGATTGAGGTCGTCAGGGTCAGGCATTGTCTAAGAAACTTTACGCCACAAAAAAGGAAAAAAAAAATTAATCTTAAGATTCTTTTTCGTTCATCCTTCTTCCTCTCTCTCTATTATTCAAATATGAACTAATGTGATATGGTCTGTGGCCTTTTAGATATAGAGATATACTTTAGCTGCAGTTAGTTTCGGATGGATTCTAAACCGATAAGATAATCTTGTGGATAAAACTATTTGATCATTCAGATCAATATCTTTAATTTTGATGCCAAAATTTATATGTATTTTCTAAATAATTTTTATAAGAAACACACGCGGCTGGAACTCTTCAAGGGAGTCTTTCTACATGCTTGATTACCGGTACTGTATGAGTTAGATAAGCAGGGTCAGAAATACCTATTTCATCTCAAGCATTTATCAATTCATTATTTCTTTTTTTCATTAGTTTTACCGAACACAAACTTGTAACTCCTGCACGAATTAAAATGACTTCACAGCCATCTTAAATTTGCCAAAAACATGTTTTCTTTCAAACATTGTTCCTCTTTTTCAGTCACAACCCTACGGGAATAAAACGAGATATTTTAACTTCCCGTAATGTTGAAACCGAAGAACGTCAGACTGAATTTCATTTTTCAATGACCTTTTTCAGCCTGATGATGTGATTAGTTAGAAAGCTTTATAAGTGAACAAGCTCCATTGACTTTATTAAGTATTCATAGCATGGCAGTTTTATCAGTTGTGTCTTTCGTAGTTCAACTTCTTTGTTTCCTTTAGAAGTAACTTAGATGAGTTTCAACTACAGTGAAGGAAATCTGTTTTATAATACATCAAAGGTTTTAACACAGAATTACTACGGAGTTTGTCTTGTGCAATTACATCTGTTGTGCTGCATTGATAGGGAAGTACAAAATGAGGAAGTTGTACATATTTCTCAATATAATTAAGTCCGTTTATCTAACTGACATTTCTAAAATCACTTCCATTTAAGTACATGTACTCTCGACGGAAATGGAAAAAAAGACTTTTAAAGGAAATCCCACTGTGTGTGCAATCTTGTGGCCCTTTTTGATTAACAGGGGGATTTTTTCTTATGTCGAGTGCGTTACGTTGCGATATTTTGAATAGTTTTTACCTTAAATAGATAGTCTGTTATGTCGCCTACGACGTAATATTAATAGTGTGGGATACATTTGCAAATAATGCCGCTAGAAGGGGGGGGGGGCACTTTTTATTACAATTAATTATTTTGGCTTATCAAAAGTACAGTTGCTATTGAAGCTAATCAGGAAAATAGAAATAATACATAGAAAATAAATCATAGGTTCTGTGCTTCCCTTTTCAACTTAAAATTTGTTCCACAGCCCGTTTGGATTCAGGGAAAAGTTTCGTGATGAATACGGGATTTTGTGTTTGTTTTTCTTTTATTTCCTCGCCAATTAAAAGAAAAAAAAAGAAGATAAAAGCAACAACGCAGATTCAAGCGCGTCTTAACATTCAATGCATTATCTAAGCGATAAACTACACTATCGGTTTACCAGTGTAATAAACCACGCGGAATAAAGGGAAAACACCGGAAAAGTTTCTCAAGTTGCAAGTCAGTCAGTAGTAATGAAAATCCGATTGGATTTATCGAAATTTTATCAAACAATTTGCACGTTGTTGAACGGTGACTGAACTTTTCACTTCTACAATAGCCTGCAGTGCAGGCGTCTTATTAGTGCGAGCTAACGTCATATGCTCGCGATCGTTTATCTGACCGGCCATATTTAATTTGGAGTTAGAGTAGACGGCAGGGGTAGGGGCACTTCTCCACCCTTACCCCTCTCCTTATTGTTGACCGTCGACCACCCCCTTAGTAAAAATTTCTTTTTCTACCCAGCCTTCCGCTGCCATTAAAATCGAAGATGGCGGCCATAATTTCCGTTAAGAATAATACTGAGCACTCGCTCGCCAAAATTACGCCTTCTCTGTAGGCTACTCCAACAAAATATTCATGCACTCTTGATTAGCCTTTACAAGTCTGTTCTATATGGACATTTGTATCATAAATTGCACGACAGAAACCGGCTGAAGAATAACATATACATAGCAGCGCGCTAAATATGAACCAATTCTCTAGTGGCACAGCTTACCTAATGTTGTGACTTCGTCTTAATTTATCATTTCACCCTGATTAGGCGATCGAGGCGTAATTTTTTTCTTAATCTTTTAAATGGGATTTTAAATTTTCCAGAACAAGTCGGTGCTATAAGGCAGCATAGTATTGAAATCCAGGACACCTAAAACTTATGGGATTAAACTTGATCATTCGTCGCTTATTTTTAATTTAACGTTTGGTTCCCTTGTTTGTTGGAGTTTACACGTCTCTTATGATAATGTTTCAGTCAAGTCTGCTCGTAAATCGCCCTTATAATAGAGAGGGCTAAAATTACTGTTGGATTTTAAACAGAAAGCCAAAAGGATCCAATTCTATATTTTTCGTTTTTCTGTCGTGGTATCAAAACCCCAGCAAGGATCACAGATTATCAATACTATAAACAACAATCCTGCTATGTTGGTAATTACCAGATAGAGGGGGAAAGCAGTCATTTTTTAGGTCACCGACCTTTGTCACAAGTGGCTAGGTTTAATACATATTTTCCTTCGGCACGTCCCGGAGGATATTGCGTACGACCTCTTGCGGTGTCCAAGAACTTGGGCTCATTTTTCCCTAACTTCCCGGCTGGTAAATTACGTATATTTATTTCATTCAGACACCAGTCGTTTCAAGATTCGCGTATGTTGGCTGTGAGGAGTCTGAATCCTCTCTACCAGGCAACTCAGGGGGTGGTCCCTCCACATCAGCGTATACCGTAGGCTCATAGCTGGGTGGTTTTGGTGGTTTGGTGGCATCAGTTTCATGGTCAAATTCGGCGAGTTGAGCGTACACAAGGTCTCCCTCCTTTCGCTTGAATAAACACACAAAAAAAAAATTTCATAGATCAAAATGCCTGCTGGTGGTGATACTAGCGAACATCAATATCTAGATGCCTTACGCACATAGATAACAATGTATTCTATAATCTGCCTCTCTTCAGGTTTAGTCATGCGCACAATTCTATCCAATCTGCTTGTAGACGTTCAAGAATCTGTTCATTCATCTTCTACACACGTCATATTTATTAGAGTCCATCGTCCTAACAAAAACTTGAAATTACACTGAATCTTATTACATCCATACTTCTAACGCTGAATGTTCACCTTCTTGTTTGCCTTGTTGACAACAGCATATTCACAATTTTCTGGTAGTGGTTGAAGCCTAGTATTATTCTTGCTGTTCGGTGACCCAAGAAGCTTTGCGGCTTCAACTTGATTCACAGATTCATATTGACTTTCTCCTAATTGGTCCTTTTCTCTGCTTAGGTAAAAAAAAAAAAAAAAAAAAAAAAAAACGAGAATGTTGGTTTTTGCGGAGGAGCAGAGGAGCAAAACGGGAGGTTCCGCAGAGAAACCCACGAAGCAAGGAAGAGCGCCAACAATAACCGCAACCGACACGTATCCCCAAATCTAGGAATCGAGCCCGAGCCATAACGGTGGGAGATTAACGTTCTCGCCAGTTCACCTTCCCCACTCTGAAAATCATCGAAGTGCACGATGATTATTTATTGAGTCTCAATCCGGCAGGGGTTTGAGACTCGTTCTTTGCAGTGTCCCTCTCCATCCAGAAGTATTGATTGGTACACAGAGACCACGTTTAACAGGGACACAAAGGCACATGACGTAATGTAAGGGAAGCGTTGAGGGGGGGGGGGGAGGGGGTAATCCTACTATGGACTGGATTCTATCTAGGAAAGGAAGAAGTATCAATACTCGTAATTGCTCCATGCTATGCTAAGAGGATAGGATTTCCAGCAATAGTATGCTGAACTTACCTTACCCTATATAAATTTAATTAGTACCGGTTGATTTTATCATTTGGTAGTGATCTGTTGTAAGAAACTGACTCTGTGCCCCCAAAAAATATATACCAACAAACATATAAATAAACAAATAAACATAGAAACAAAGCAAAGATAAATACTGACTTTTTCGGCGCTGACATCTTCGGCGAAGACTCTCTGGGCAGTACGCTCTCTCTATCTTAAAAATAAACAAACAAACAAACAAGCATGGGAACATCTCCGTGGTTAACACCGCATGAAAAATAATAAGAATAAGAATAAAAAATATAAACAGAAATGCAAACGGATTTTTTTTCTCAGCAAATAGCAACAGTGGCAACAATAACAACAACAAAGATGTTTCTGAAATTGTGGACAAGTGTAACCTTGATTTTTTTTTCCCTATGACCATTGGGAAACCTCTTTTTCAACATTTGCCAAACTAGTTATTACGTCTTTAGAGCTGGTTTTCGATTTAACATTGCTTGTAAGTACGACGTCCACAAAGGAAAGAACGGCTGGGAAGTTAAAGGCAATTAATCAGGTTAGCTTTGCGACTTTGATGTTGAAACCATTCCAGAGATACAGGTACGTCACAGTGGAACTGCAACGATATTTGACCCTTTGTGGGTACAAGATTATGCAGATGCGTAAGCCAGGGATTCAATCGGTAATAAATACAAGAAATATTATCTGGAAACCAAGGAACAAGGACATTTTCTAGAGAGAAGAAAACAACGACAACAACAACAAAACAGCATAAAGCAAAGAAACAAAAAAGGCTCGTTTGATCTTCCGTCATACTTTGTCGTTAGTCTCCAGTTCTATTTTCGCAGCCAAAATGAATGTCTCTGAGGGAAAGAAGGTCAGTTAAAGGCCTCGCCGCATGAGTGATGTCTAAACCATCATATTATTAGAAACTATTTTCGTATGGGGAGTAATGATGTTTTAATCTTTACAACGTCTAGAGACTCTTAACCTTTTCCATGACGTTTCTTTCGTCTTAACAAAATGACTGTGATGAGGATGATCAACACTACGAAGAGTACTGCTCCTAAAGATGCTCCCACTATCATTACTGTGGGAGAAGAACTGCTCTTGTCATCCGCAGTGGTACGGGTGTCTGTTGATTTCGCCGTTGTAGGGATGGAGACAATTGTTAAAGACCCTGGATTTTAAAGCATCAATGTATCAAAATTTTTGTTCACATTGAATCATGATACAATTAAACCTAAATGGTGATCTTAGCTTTTAATATTGATTTTAGCTTATGACACGAAAATACAACATACTAACAAGGAAAAGCATTAGGAGGTCAAATATATTTATAACATAGCTAGTAAATTTGTCTAATCAAATTCAATTGCGCGAGTGTGTTTCATATTCTTTTATAAGATAATTCAAATAGTACGAGCGCTCTGATTGGCCATAAAACCATTTTACATGAGCGTATGTAAACAAGGTTTTTGTTCATCTTTCATTAGTTATTTTATAAAAGAAATGTAAAATGGTTTCCGTGTTTACATACTCGATAAGCTGGAAACCACTCCGCTTCGCGTCGTGGTTTCCTACGCTTATCTCGTGTTCTCCCAACCTCTTGCATGTTTACATCAGGCTTTGTAAACACGGAAACCATTTTACATTTCTTCAATTGTGCACGCTCATGACGTCATCAAACAAATCCCTCGAGAAAAAAAAAATTCCATCGGGTCGAAAATGTTGTAAAACATTTGGTTCGTACGTCAGCTGTGCGTTCATCGAGATATGAAGCACTTGGGAAGTTTGGAGAGCATAAGAGAGTAAGAGAGAGACTAGAGAGCTAGAGAGCAAATCTAGTTTCTTGAAACAATTGTTAATTTCCTCTAATAATTGAAAAAAGGAAAAAACAGACAAACAGACGAGCTTAACCATGAAAAAGAGAAACAAACAGAGACTGTTTTGATTTGTTTTCATAATTTCAAAACGAACATACAAATTTTAAAAACTTTTAGTAATAACTTCGGAAAAGTTCCTTTTTTACATATCCTAAAATTAACCTGATACGTCAGTGATGTCCTGTTCTGTTGACGTCTTGACTTTCGTAGTAACAGCTTTTGTTCCAGGAGGAATGGTGCTCCTCTGAATAGGATATAAGAAACAGACTCCTCGACAATTGTCTGTTAAAGGAACATGACAAATGACATTATTGTCCGTAGCCACGAATCTATACATCCTCTGAGGGGTTCTCTTATAAGTTATGTATAAAGCTTTATCAAAGTGGATGATATTTCGGGCACTGTTCCCCCGAAATTATAAGCCTTCCCTATGAGGTGGTCGCGATGGGCGGGTTCCGGAAAAATGTAAGGTGGGAAAAGGAAAGATTAGGGGTGGGAAAGGAAGGGGAAAAGTAGCCTATAGTTAATTCAGATCTGTCCATGATAATTATGTTTGATTAAGATAAAATTGTTTGTTTTATCTAGTCCTGATCAATACCTGATTCTTTCTCGCAAATCCATCCTCTTTGTACGTTTTCTTTAACAGTGCTAAAAGATCCTTTAATTCCAGATGGAAGTTCCTCATGAATTATCCCGTAATGGTCAGCTGGGTCAGGATTTGACCCCTCCCATTTGTCAATAGTCAGAGGTTTGCCATTGATCCAAGTCCAATTCTTTGTTGTCATATCTTTCACCAAACCAATAAACCATTCACCATATTTACTGCCTACTCGATTTTGAATCGCATTTTTGATAAATTCCCATTCCTGCTCTGTTTCCATCACCACAAGGGTTTTGTTGTGGTGTTTACAGATACCATTTGCTTGTGGCCACGCCATACCACTTGACTTGTTATTAAAGCTATAACACGAACAAAGCCTCTCTCCATCTACTAAGAAACAAAAAAAAACAAGAAACATTGCAAAGATGTTGTTTTTAAGCTCTATCAATAATCAACAACAGGAGGAGGCGAGAGAGTTTGTGAGAATGGATTACAGATTGAACTTTCTGAAGCTTAGGACTATAACTGAACGCGTGACTTGATAGAGGGTGATCACCATCATTATTCACGCATTAATCAATAAGGTAATTACCTATTCATTTACCCATGTTTTTATTTATTTTTCATTAATTAAGCCATAGTTCGCAAACTGATCGACCTGAGTGCTAAGATGCGTGACCTTCCATAAATCGCAACGAAATTAATTAAGCCATAGTTCGCAAACTGATCGACCTGAGTGCTAAGATGCGTGACCTTCCATAAATCGCAACGAAATTTCACCAACTAGAAGTTATTTTGACAGTTGGTTTGTTACACATTGCTCTCAAGAACATCTGCGTTTCGCGATTGTTCGAGACCAGTGGAGGGGCTCAATTGCCGCTCAGATCAAAGACAAATCGAAAAATTCCGAGAACCCGTTTGCATTTTTGACGAAAACCGAAAACCAACTGCTAAACCGCGTAAAATCCGCAAACCGAAATGAACAACAAACCGAGAGACCAAAGTTTTTTGGCACAAAAACCGAAAATCGGATATGAAAATAGCCAAAATCGTCAAACCGAAAACCCCAATGCCCCCATGCTGATTGAAGAATGAAAAAACAAAAAACAAAACCAACAACAACAACAACAACAATAAAATGGGCCTGCGCTCCATTATGTCACACAGACTCTGTTTTGGCGCGTTACGCAACATCTGTACTTTTTATTGAAATAATGTTAATTTTTTTCACCCCCTCTTTTTTAAACTGTTCATTACTTTGTAAATTATTTGATTTTTAAAATTTTGAAAACTCTCCCTCACTTCTAGTGGGGCCTGCGCTCAAATACGCCACGCAGGCTTTATATTGGCTTGACATATTTTTCATTTTATCCGTGATCCGATCCGTGTTCCGGGATGACATGTTGAATTTGATTAATAATGCATGTGTTTCCTTTTCATTCCAGTCGACAATCGTTGGGCAGCTTGCATTGTGTTAAGGAAAACTACGTGAAAAGTCTTCTTTCCTAACAGTCAGAATGCAGTGTATCAATAATGTAACGAGTACGCTTACATGAAGCATTGAGCTTCCTGCGGCCGCATGGCATCTTGGGAACAGCTTCCTCGTGTGTCGGCCATGTTGTTAGCATAGTAAATTGTAGCTCTGTTCTTGGGTTAAATATAAGTTGATGTTTTGGTACCTGCCCGCCTGTTTAGCTATCGTTACAAATAATATCTGCGTATGTAAGTCATTTTCATCGTAAAAATTCGCAATTGATATAGATTAAATTTTTATGTTACATTTGATCGATGGCAAATAAGTCACGCCATCTTTGACAAGGATCGCCGCACGACATTTTTATAACAATAAAGCAAGCGGTCGCGATGTACATGACACGTACAGCTCCGTAGCGACAACTAAATGAAAGCTGTTCACAGTTCCAAATTCGAGAAAGTTGAACTCAAAGCAAACACGTTACTACGGATCAAAATACATGGATCTATTTCCATAATGGAAGCCTCTACTTCTTTTTCAATTCAATCGACCATTGTTGTGTAGTGTGAAGTGTGTTTTGGTTAACTGCGAGATAATTCTTCCTTAAAAAAACAATCAAAACATAATTTACCAATCATCTTTATAAAAGCAAGTCATTTTGGTGATAAATTTCGAAATCTAAAGCGTTGGATGCGCAAGATATTAGATTTGATCCTTAAGTATCAATCGCGTACGAACATCAACAAAACTCGTGAAGTCAAGGATTATTTTCAATTCCATTTCACCTACCAGTTCTCGGCAGAAACAAATCAACTGCAAGCACGATCCATACATGTATGTTCGCGAAATTCATCTTCCTAGGCCTACGTTCTGAACGTGAAAGTTTGAAACGCCAAGAAAGTGAAATTTACACTCGAACGATCAATTAACATATTTCTGGTCACACAAGGTGTGACTTGGGAGGAATCAGCGTTTGACAAGAGATCGCGTAAAAATAGTTTAAAAGGAACTTGATTTCAACGTTGAATGAGAATTCGAAAAAGGGAAATTTTGAATGATAAAACAACGCAAATTTCTACTGCCAGCTTCTATTTAGCTTTGGGTCATTAGAGGAGAGGCAAAGGATTCTGGTTTATTTTAAATAAGCAGGGTGTATTGCGTTGGATATTTTTGGAATGTTCTTGAAAAGCTTTGCCGGCGGGATTGAGGTCGTCAGGGTTAGGCACTATCTAGAAAACTGAACGCCACAATTAAGGAAAAAAATTAACGCAAGATTCTTTTGTCTCTCTATTATTTTTGTATAAACTTATGTGCATATTGCCTGTGGTCTTCTAGTTAGCTCGATAGATGTTAACAGCGGTTGGTTTCGCATTCATTTTTGAAGCGATCTGCTTGTCGCCCTGCTAACGCCGTTTGATCATTCAAATTTATATCTTTTTACTTTGATTTCTTAATTGAAAGTATTTACTTAATCACTTTAATAAAAATCATATAGATGGAATGAAAACACGAGGACCGGAACCCATCAAGGGAATCTTTCTGCAGGGATGAGTAATTACAACGATTCGCATGTAAATTTAATAAACAAGGTCAAAAACACTTAGGTTATCTCAGTCATTTATTCATTTATATTTTTGTACACAGACTAGATCGTTCTCTAGGTATGGATCCTATAAAACCTACTATACGGGAACTTACTAACGCACTATGAGGGAATCGAAATCGTTGTCTAAATGTTATACAACACGACAATCAGACAAATCAACCAGACTGAAAATTCGGCTGACACGGAAACTATGAACTGTGTATAAGATTAATACAGAGCTGTTGTATTGGTTGATTAACTGAAAACTTTATGCTAAGATATTCATCCTTATCGTTGTGTTTTCCAAAACAAAGCTAAAAAAAACCTCAAACTAAAGTCCTACCGAATAATCACCAGTATACTACGTGATACAGAATAAGTAAAATAACAACGACCTCAAGGCCTTTTTCTTTAAATTCTGAAAAAAAAAACCTCGTAGTCGAAAAAAGCATCGATATGTCAACGCTATAACTTACGCTAGGAGGCGAGCTCCTTCAGCCATCAAGCCAACTCTGCTCTCAAACATTTGCGCGTGTGCAGATACAGTTGCTTCGCCTTGTTGTACTTGTTTTCTCTATCAATGATTATAGTGTTAGTAATAATCTGATTTTTTTTAAATTAATTTATTTTTAGTTTACTATGGGCTAAGCATTTACTGTACTATGGAACTAAACTGGTATGTAATGTTTCATTTTGAAAACATACTTAATGATAGTAAATTACGAATTCATATAGCTATATTACTAAAAAGCTTTTGCTTTCTCCTTATTCTACTATCATATCATATATTATTATCATTATAACTATTATTACTATTATTTTTGGTGGCGAATCTGATACAAGTTCCAAGCAGTAATAACATCGAGTTTCACATTATAAGGTGCAGCATGCGTGAACAAAAAATATTGTTTGGAAGACAAAATGGCATAATTTACAGTCCATTTACAATTAGTGGGTTTCTCAAACCACGACTTAATTTAAACCAACGGAAATTCTTGTTTTTCTTTTGTGGCCTTGCTGGGACAAGTAATATCATTACATCGTTTACTTCAGCTTTATAATCCTTAATTAGCGCCACCCGTCTCACGAACAACTCACTCAAGCACTAACATACTCAGGAGTAGGTATTTGATTCACATATTCAATGTAGCCGTCTTCCATTGTAGATGTGTAAGTTCGGGAACCCTCGCCTTCTGGAGCCTGAAAAATATTCAGTTTTATTTGTGAGAAAACTGATGGTTTTATCGACTTGACAGACAAGGTTTCTCGAACTGTGCTCTCGATTCCTTCTGAAGATATAGACTCTTTGGCAAAAATACTACTGGTTGTGAAACGTAATGCCTGTTTTTAAATGAGAACCCTCTACCTCTACTGCAATAATGTGATGTTTCCCCAGAAAACTGCAATGTTTAAATAGATATATAAGGGAATAGATAGATAGATGTAGCTGGTTGTTTGAACACACTTAGACGTTTCGGGTTTTTTTTTTTATTTTTTATTATTTTTATGTTTCATTTTCTCGTAACCTAATCTTGAAAAATCAAATGGGGATCACATTAGGTGATTTAATTAATTTTATACGTAATTATCATCATTGGCTCTAAACACAGTATGGTATCTACACCCTCCCGTTGGACAAATGGTTTACGTTGGAGTCTAAATAAACAAATAAAAACAAACAAAAAAAAGGGGAAGTAAATCTAGGTATGTTGTTGATTAATTTGAGGAACGATTTCAAACGGAATTTTAAGAATACAAAGGTTTTTGGGAGGGAAGGAAAACCTGTGGACTCGATTTCCACCATTAAACTTCCACCAAAAGTGCTTTCAGAATTTAGTTTACTTTCGCTTTATATTCCTGGATTAACGCAGAATGTCTAACAAACAGTCCACCATGGCTTTCCACACGTTTTCTGATGGTGAAGCATTAACATACCCATGAGCTGGTTTTAAATTCTCATATTCAATGTCTTTGGCTTCTCACTGCGTGAATTAACAAATATCAGGGGGTGTAATGAGCCCGTATACATGACGTACACGGAGAGATATACTGGCATATAAGGACATCGATGTATAAGGACTGAGTAATGATCAGTATATGTTTGATTCCTTATTCCTATGTATACTAGATGTTGCACATGACCGTATACTAAGTGTTAGGACATCGTATAGCCAGTATTTCACCAATTGTTATGAAGCTACAAATTTACGTAATTTACTTATATACAACTACTGAAGATATTTCTATACTGAATATTTACTGAGAGGCAGTTTTTTTTCTGTACCCTTTCCCGACAATTTTGTCTGGACATAAGTGTATACTGTTTTGTGTACTGATTATTACACATAACCGTATACTAAGTATTAGGACACCCTATATCCAGTTTTTCACCAAGCATTATAATGCTTTAAATTTAAAAATTTAAATTTTTAAATTTTTGCGTATATATTGCACTAAAAATTTACAGAAAAGCAATTTTTCTGCACCCTTTCCGACAATTTTGTCAGGACACAAGTGTATACTGTTTTGTATACTGATCATTACGCATAGACGTATACTAAGTGTAAGGATATTGTATATCCACTATTTTTACTAATTATACCAAAGCTCTTAATTTGCTCATCTATAACAACTGCAGAAATTCTTACCCTAAAGCTGTTAGAGATTTTTCACTTTACCACTCTTCAGCAACTTTGTCAGGACACAAGTGCATACTGTTTTAGATACTTTTAACTACACATAAATGTGTACCAAGTGTAAGGACATCGTATATCCGTCATTTTACCAGTTATTCCAAAGCTTTTAATTTGCTTACCCATAGCTGCTGAAGACACTCTTGTCCTAAAGCTGTAAGACGTTTTTCACCTTTCCACTTTTCAAAATATTTTTTTAGTATGCAAGTGCTGACCTTCTACTGCTTCACTGTTCCTCATCTATCATACGTATTATTGTTATTTACCGCCCTCCAATTTCTGTCAAGAATGGTCTTACACATGCTGCTTTTTTTGATGATTTTTCTTCACTGCTGGAAAGGCTAGTGTCTTCCACCGGCCGTCTTCTTCTAGCCGGTGATTTCAATTTTCATGTCAACGATTCATCTGACAACACTGCCAATAAGTTTCTCGACCTTTTAAGCTGTTTCAATCTGGAAGTCTGTAATGTCCTCACCCCGACGCACAAAAACAACAACGCCCTTGACCTCATTATCACAAGATCCGGCGAAGAAACTGTCTTAAATTTATCCATCAACGACCCGGTTATCTCTGATCACTTTGCTGTTCTTTGCACCTTGGCGATCAAGAGACCACCTAAAGCTAAGCTCACCATCTCATCACGTAAACTGCGTACCATTGATCCAGACAACCTACGGCGTGATATTCGTTCCTCCGCCTTATATAACTCACCATCTCAGGAAATTACGGAACTCTGTGACCAGTATGACTCGGTTTTACTTTCCATTTTAGACAAACATGCACCTTTGCGCACAAGAATCATCAATCTGCGACCTAATGCTCCCTGGTACAGCGAGGAAATCAGAAAACAGAAAACAACCTGCCGCAAGTTTGAAAGGCGCTGGCGACGCTCCAAACTTGAATCAGACTATCGACCTTACGCTAATCAACGCACTATTCTTCAGAACACCATTTTTAAGTCAAAAATGGATTACTACTCTAATCGTATTTCAGAGGCTGGCAACGACAACAAAGCCCTATTTCGATTAATCGACCGTCTCCTCCACAGGAAAGCAGAGAAAAGTTATCCAACCAGCACATCAGCTGAAGATCTCGCTAATACATTTGTTACCTTCTTCGAAGATAAAATAACCCGTATTAGAAGTATACCTACTCCTTCTGAAATTCCGGATTACTTTTCCTCACTGGATATTTCCACCACTAATTGTGAGCTTAGCAACTTCTCACCTATTTCAAATCTTGAACTATCGAAGATTGCCCGCTCTGTTGTGCAGAAATCCTGCTGTCTGGATCCTTTACCAGCCACGTTACTTCAAGAACATCTGGACCTGCTCCTATCATCTATTTGTAGTATTGTAAACCTGTCACTGGTATCTGGTTTTCTACCTTCGTCCCTTAAAAACGCTGTTGTAACCCCTCTTCTCAAGAAACCGAACCTTGACCACGAAGTTCTTGGTAATTTTAGGCCTATTTCGAACCTTAAGGCTATCTCGAAAGTCATTGAGAAGGTTGTGGCAGTGCGTCTTCAAGCTTATCTTGACTTCTACCAACTCACTGCTTACTAACCGCACACAAGTCGTCCTAATCGATGGGAGAAAATCGCAATCTCGTGAGCTCAAGTGTGGAGTACCTCAAGGCTCCGTTCTTGGGCCGATCCTCTACCTACTTTACACTGCTCCTCTTGCCGACATTTTACGTTTTCACGACATGCAATTTCATTTCTACGCCGATGATACTCAGTTGTACATTTCTTTTTCCGTTAACGATGATCTGGAATTAACAACATGATCTCGAGACCGAAATTACGATTATCGTTATTTCTAAATTGGCACCAAATTTATGGATATAGTAATTTCGTGGCACTCTTTACCAATGCTCTTTACACGTGTTAAATAAAGAGAAGGACTCGGTTCCACTGTCTTACAACATTCAAGATGGCGGAGGAAAGGGGTAAATGTGCGTTCAGTTGTGATCAGCATGATCTCGACACCAAAATAACGATTACCGTTATTTCTAAATTGGCCCTGAAATAACGAATATCATAATTTCAGTGCATGTCTGAGACCTTCGGGCTCGAAGCTTGGGAACTAGTATTCAGGGAAAGATAAAATGGCGGCTTACGGCGGCGAAGGAAATCTCAGTAGTTTAATATTTAGCGTGAAAAGGCTTGGGTGTTGTGATCTGGTTCTCAAGTAAAAAAAAAATCACGGTCTGCAATGGCCCTACCACCTTTTGAACAACAAGAAAACATTGAAACGGTGGTAAAAAGCAGCAAGTTTCGAAGTCTAAACGAAAGATGGGTAAGCTGAGTTTCAGTCAAATATCATGACATTTGGGATGTAATTTCGATACCGAATAAATAGTTCTACATGGTTACACACGCATAGGATTCTGTTGTGTTCACGTGAAGGCCATTTCAGCCATTCCTGCCACTTGTAAGTGGTAGGAAATAAAAGATATGTATAGTTGTTTCGTATTGAAGCCCTGTGAAATCACAAATTTGATTTATTTCTTCTTTGTTTTAGGTGGTCATTATCCATTACTTTTGGAAGTCGATGCTGATGAGAAAGAAAAAATGTTTATGATTATTTCTTCTCTCGAACATTTTACTATTTAGGTACCAAATAATCTTGATACTGAAGATCATTGCATCCATTATGAAAAAATTACCCTTGATTGCTTTGTCAACTGGAATGTATAATGTAATATACCTTGTGATTTGTGGGATTTTCACAAGTAAACTAGAAATACTTGAAGAGGGTAATGATGTACTTAATGCAGAGCATTTGGTACAAAGTCTGCTTTGCTGTAATCTACCTGAAGGTGCTTTTTATATGCTAGTAAGACTTGCACAGCCCAGTCAAAATGTTTTTGAGTAGTAGAAAAGCTGGCCAAACCTCTTCCTGAAAAGCAGTCTGAAAAATGTGAAGTTAGCGGAAGGTACTTCATTGTAGGCGGCCAAATTGTAAGCTGCCAGCCCATTTTGAGTGAGCAGTAAAACTCAAGATTGGCTATTTTAGCTAATTTTATTGAGAACCAAATTCCCAGCAACGGGCACAATTTTACTGGGCTATTTGTTATTTAACTACTTAGTAATATTCTTATTAAAATTTACTGCATTCCTTTCTAATAATTTGCTGCTGATTGTATGCTGTATATAGCTTATGATTTGTGTGATTTTCACAAGTAAATTAGAAATACCTGAAGATGGTAATGATGTACTAGATAATGTACTTGATGCAAAGCTATTTTGGTGCAAAGTGTGTGCCTTGTCTGTAGGTGATTTTGCATGCTAATAAGACTTGTAATTCAAATAATAAACATCAGCTGGAGTGGGAATATTAAAAGAAAAATAATAATATTTAGCTATACCAAGTTCTGGTTTTATGTCCAAAGTGTGTGCCTTGTCCATAGGTGATTTTGCATGCTAATAAGACTTGTAATTCAAATAATACACATCAGCTGGAGTGGGAATATTAAAAGAAAAATAATAATATTTAGCTATACCAAGTTCTGGTTTTATGTCCAAATTAAGCACTTAGTTGAAGATCACTGCACTGCTCAGGTCCAGAAGGCTGAAAGAGTACTGTCTGCTGTTAGTTTGATTTTTGTCATTTCTATTGATTTATTTTATTTATCAATGTTTCTTTGAATTGTAATTCATTGATCTCTTTCAATAGTGCAGGTTCGCTCATGTAACCTAATCTCCCACTTATGTATGTATGTATGGATGAGCTCAGTCAAAATGTTTTTGAGTGGAAGGCAAGCTGGTGATAGTAATAGGCAGCAGAGGCTGAACCTTGTCTTGAATGGAAGTGTGAAAAGTGTGAAGTTAGCGGCAGCTATATTGTGGCAGGCAGCCAAATTGTCAGCTGTGGCACATTTTGACTGGGCTGATTGTGTGTAGTATATATGTGCACTTCTTTTAGGGTGTTAAACAGGTTAAAGTACCAAGAAATCCTCTGTGATAACTTGATAATTCAAGATGTAAAAATTTTAAATAATAAGGTAAAGCTTGATCATTCTTAAGAGTTTCCATTTGTTCTGGAAATTTGGGGGAGGGTCAGGGGAGCATTATTTATACATAAATAATGTACATAAAAAGTAAAAAAAAAGGACCAAGGTAAAATCCCAATTTGTTTTAAGAGTTAATTTTATTAAGAGAAAACCCTGGATATAGCTTGGGATTTGTGTGATTTTCAAAAATTGTTAGGAACCTTGTTAATTTTCAGCTTCAAGAACACAAGTACATAATCTTTAGTGCAGCCCTCTTTTCTCCCCGCCATTATTCTAATTTTTTTATCAAGTTTCCTTTTTCTTGTGTTCAATTAATTTATTGTCTTTACAGGTGAAATTTTAATATCTGCTAGCACAATTATCTCTGCTAAGAGTGTCTACCATCACTCTTGCCGGTCTCAAGCCCAAAACGCTGCAAACTAGCTGAAACTACATGTATTTCGTAAAATTGCAATGAAATCTATCTAAAAACACCAAAATCCGGCAGAACGCACGAGTTTTTGCCAAATTTTACGCAAAAGTTGACAAAAGCGCTCAATTCGACCTGAAAAACACGTTTTTTTTTTTTTTTTTTTTTTGCAAAAATCAGCCTATTTTACATTCAAAAGCACGATGTCTTTAACAAAATAGGGATACCATCCATGTGAAAACACTTATTCCAGCTAAAACGCAGTGTTCTCAGTAAAATTTGGGGAAAAAACGCGTAAAAACCGTCAGAAACACGACAAATTGGGCTGATTTTACCCACTTTTTGTGTAAATAGCTGCCAAAACCCTCTAAACTAGCTGGAACTACATGTTTTTCACAAGATCGCCATAAAATCTTGAAACGTTGCTTTAGGGACCTTTATGCCTCCAAAACGAGTTTTTTACTTTAAAAAAAATGGAATGAACAAAGATGTTAAAGGGGAAAAAGCTGTGAGAAAGGAGAAGTTTAGTGTTGCTGTTTGATATGCCGCCCAGATATATCAATTTATTAATTTAACGCCTTTAGCCGTGGGCAGAAGTTTTTCTCTAGACTAAGAGGACCCTCCCTATGTTGACGAACCTCAATAACTCGTTGATTTTACTGTTTTTACACAGATTTGATTTTAACCATATTCGCCAAAATAACTGCCAAAACACGGCAAACCAGTATCTCGGCCAAGAGCGATATTGGCCATTTCACACATCCTTATTAGATATGAATTTTATTAAAGATTGTCATTCTAGCATATGTTGGCTAGAGTTGGGCTTATTTTTATGGCTAATCCATCGGCGACTTTCTCATGATTTTCTTGGGTTCTCAACAGTGACACGCACTTTGGAACCATAATTTTATAAATATGTCAACACTGGCAAATACTGCTAAAATCTACACTCTACTAAACTCCATGTACCACAATATCCACACAACTACGTGTGCCTACTTGAAAATCCTAACCCTAACCCTAAAACTATCCAGTTAGCCTAGTATTGTATTGCTGGTTTGAGTGACTAAACTGGCTCAAATGATCCAGCTGCTTAAAAATCTAAGCACAGAGTAAGTTTAAAAGATTCAATTTTGTAAGGTTTCGAAACAGTTCCAAAATTAACATGCACATAGCTCAGTGTAAAACATCGAAGCTTCTAGGACTTCTTATGATTCCTACGAACGTACACACCTAATGCACGTCAATTTGCCTTTGTTGTCCTCGAACGATCACGTCTTCATGGTAACGTGGTGTAAGAACTGTACAACACTTTATAAATATATGTTTTACTTGACGGTAAAAGTTTGAATCCGTACAAGGAAACGTAACGGAAACAGGCGATGATAATATTCCGTTGACAGAAATGCAACGGAAACGTGTCGTCATATTTCCGTTCAGGAATCATAACGGAAACATAACAGGTCCAAGGAAGAAGTGAATGATGTGGAAACATAGAGTTTCATTTTTCCGAATTACGGAATCATGCTATTTCGTCCTGTGCTCACTCTAACTCTGTGCTATCCTAAACCTAACCCAAACCCCAAACCAATCCTAAGCTATGGTAAAGGGTTTAAGTCAGGGTTGAGGATAGGGTTAGGGCAGGAGCCCATTACCTGGTTAGGGTTAGAGTTTGGGTTGCTTCGGGTCAGAGGGGTTTAGTGTTACAATCAGGGTTAGGGCTAGGGTAAAATTATGCTTAGAGTTAGCGGGGTTTAGTGTTAGAATTAGGGTTAAGGCTAGGATGAGGCTATGCTTAGGGTTGGCGTTAATATTTTTCTACAAGCATTCAATTGCAGGGTTTTTGGTATTGTGTTTGTAAATTTCAGTAACTACTTGAAAGTTTGCTGAAAAACAAACGATAGGCCGACTGGTACACTTACAGGATAGATAGAGAAGGTTGGGGTTAGGGTTAGGGTTAGGGTTAGGGTTAGGGTTAGGGTTAGGGTTAGGGTTAGGGTTTAGGGTTAGGGTTAGGTTAGGGTTAGGGTTAGGGTTAGGTTTAGGGTTAGGGTTAGCTTAGGGTTAGGGTTAGAGGGTCTGCGGTTGAGGTTAGGGATAGGGTGAAGGTTTGGGGTTAGGGTTTGGGGGTAGGGTTAG